ATTAGGCGTTACGGAAGCGTCAACCATAGAGCTCTACCAATCCAATCAGCTCCCAAAAGGAGATGTTTACATATCCCTGCCGTTCAGAGGTGATTAACAAAGTTTGGTCACTAGATAAAGACTCAAGGCCGCAATTAATAGAACTTATTATGCAGCTAAGCTTATCTTCATAGAGAAAACGAGAACTATGCTGTCCTGTAAACCCTCACATTATCCGAACGATAGTGTAACATCCCACTGTGTTTATCAATTTACATGTATGTGTGGAGACACGTACATAGGGAGGACCCATCGATTTCTGCAGGTTTGGGCTACAGAACACATCCCAAAGTGGCTGCAACAACAAATGAAAACGCCAGACACAATTGACCCCAGAAATAGATGTCCAACATCATCTACAGCGAAGCACATTATAGAGACTGGTCATAAGGTTGATTTCAACAATGCCTTTAAGCCGATATACAAAACAAGGTTGGGCCACATACTTAAATCCAATGAAGCCTTAGCCATAAAGAGACTTAAACCTGTCCTGTGTGTCCAAAAGTTATTTGTTATCACCTTAAACCTGCCTTGGTAATCCAATTTAGAACCAGGGTCCAATTTACTTCATAATATTTTCAACCCCTTCTTTGCCTTGTTTTTTTCTCTTCTCTTTCTTACCCACACCTTTTGCGACTCCCTACTCATTGTTTGTGACCATTATTTGACCTGTACATAATCTGACTTGCGTTGTAATTATTCATGCCTTCTTACCTTCTATAAAAACTGTGTATGACAAGTACGTGTGTGATCAGAATGTCGGAAATGTGTTGCGCCAATACATTACACGTTTCAGATAATCTACGTCTTCTTATTGTTGTTGAAATTCATAAAGTGAACTTATTGCTTTAAATTACACGAAGTACTTTTTGGCGTGACGAATTGAACGAGTACACACATTGGCGAGTATCAGATAAGGTTTTGGTTTTCGTCCTGATATCTTCTTGGCAATCATTTCTTCGGGGTGTACGCAGCTTCCCAAATAAGTGAAGTTGCTAACACATTTAGCCATTACATGATATTGTTGAGATAGAAAACAGTGCAAACTAATCGTGTCGCATCAACTTACATCTGACAGGGGCTAACTGCCCCCTGAAAATACTTAGGTTTTTTGACTTGAAACCCATCTGATATCCTGAAGTTAAATTTTTCCAATCTCCACGTAGTCTTCGTGTGAGTATGGAACCTAAGATCTTATATACTACGTTAGTCCAGCTGATACCTCTGTAGTTATCGCAGCAAATGTTTCTATTTTCTTCGAAAATGGGATGATCAATGGTCATCATCCCTGGAAACTTGTAGAACGGAATCATTAGGTTCTGCTGCTTTACCTCATTTCAGATTAGTGACAGCTCTTGTAACCTCGACAAAAGTTAAAGTTTGATGTCTGCGTCCCATTTGGACTGGAGTTGGACAGTGAAGATTGTGTTTTACATCCGTAGGCTAATTGAATTGTCTTTCAAAGTGCTCTAAATGTTTCTCCTGACAGCTTGTCTATTCTCATCTTTACCTCGAAGCTGGTTTAACTTGCCATAACCGTCTTACAACCCACCATGTTTTTAAGTGTAATTTGTTGATGGGTATCACCTTTTCCATTTCTTTTGCTTTCTTCATCCATGATTCTTCATGGTTTATATTGCTTGGTGTTTGATACTGTTTGACAAATCTTCATTGTTTCCGTTAGCTGAGTGCTTTGCATTCACTAGTTTCATACAGCCCAACGTTATACTTATTCCTGTTGGTTTAGAGTTCACTTTCAGTAAGTTCATTACCACCACTGACTTATAAGGGGTTTAACAGCAATTTATTACTAAGTTTATGCATATTAGACGCGCCTTCTAACCATAAATTTCGTATGTGTCTAATAAACTGTATCCTATCATCATACTGTTCCATTTTTGTATTGATTCATCTGACGTGAAATTAGGTGGAGGTGTAGCTCATTGGCTTAAAGACTTGACTTCCAGCCAGTAGATGACAAATTTAAGTCATGCGTTCCATCTACATCAATCGAGGCAACTGGCCCTCAAGTAATATGTGTGGCACATAATCTGAAACACGGAAAGTCTGCTTCGGGTAACCAACGTCGCCTTCCTTGACAGGCAATGTTAGCTGACATAGGGTCAGGCTGGAAAAGAAATAGATCATAGTGGGCAAACCAAAACAAGGCTTCATCAGTCAATGAAATCCACAACAGTTAGTTTAAGCCAGCCAGCCACGTAAGGAGGTGTAGACTTCATGGATGGGGTCCTTGGGACGGTAAACACCAACAGTGGCTGGAGACAATTGGTGATGTGGCTCAAAGCCATCGTTCTCAATGGCTGGCGCAGATGCATCCACTCCTTGTGACTTATAATATCCAATAAAACTATATGGTCGTTCCATATTACTATTCTTTTTGTTTCATATCTCTGTTTGCTGTCTCTGTTTTGCGTTTCTTTTCACTTTCTTCTCTGGCTTTGTGTTCTGAGTGGTGTGGCAACTTGAACTGTTGCACATCGGTGCAAAGTTCTATGTTGAAGTTTCGATAGCATTGGTGTTTATTTTTATGGGGTGGGGTTGGTAGCTTCATGCCCAATCTACCCTCTTAACAGGTCCTATGGCGAAGTTCAACAATGGCATCCCAGGAGTTCGGACGCTCCAATGACCTTGTACGCATGCTAGTCGTTGGCTGACGGTATCTGTCATTATCATAGCTGAAATATCAACGCTATTCGCCATCTAAGCAGCAAATTTTATTCAGATCACGTTTTAATTACTGTTTGGACAGTGTGTTAATAGCTCGGTAGGGTTAGGTTTAGGGTTAAGGTAAGTATTGGGGTTAGGGTTGGGATCAGGGTTATAAATAGGATTAGGGTTAGGTTTACGGTTAGGATAAGGGTTGTAATTAGGGTTAGTGTCAAGTTTAGGGTTAGGGTCAGGATCAAGGTTGGGTATACGACAAGGGAAAGATTCAGAGTTTATGTGGTTTATTTTAATTTGGTTTCTTGTGCGCATTTTCCTGGTAAGTAGTCGTCGATCCTCTTACTGGAAACCATAGTAATTCAACCGGGGACTTTTGGGTGGAGACTGCACAACAGGATAATCGAGATAAACAATTCACAAAAACAGTCATGTAAGACAAAGATACCCTGTTTAATGTGTTTTCATGCATTTTCTTGTGAATATATACGTCACATTTTGAGCAAAAGTCACTAATTTTTATGAGCGGTCGGCTGAAGGTCACTCGTACGTTCGCATCCCGTGGGATGCTGTTGTTATTACTAGCTTAGCGAGGTAAAGGAGTGCGTCGGCTGGGGATCGAACTCAGAACCGCATGCGTGGTTAGTGAACATTCTCCCGCTGTGACACCGACACAAGTACTGATTTGGAATAAAGCAAATTATTATTATTATTAAAAAGACAACTAGAATGAGTGAAACATACTAGAAAAAGTGTAATCTAATTTCGAATGGTCATTCTCAGAGTAGTTTGTTAACTTTTCAAACAATTGAGGTGATACAAAAATAAGATATAGATCACTAGCTTCCTGGGCATAACATGTTTGGAGAAGAGTTTATGGAGAACGACTAGCTATCCTTTAGAATACCTACCCAGAAGTGAAATGAGTTTTCTATTCATGTAAACAGAATCTCTGGAATGCAGTTGGATATGGTTTCGATTAGTATGAACCCAATTAGAAATAAGCTTTGTTGGTTAAAAGATCCATCCTGTGGAGCCAATTAAACAAAACAATTTAGTCTATCTAATACCCTGCCTGCAATGATTGTTAGGTCAAATACATAGGTCAAAGTAGTAGAATGAAGTCAGTCAGACCAGTGAAGCACAAACACTTAGCAAAATATAGATTAGTTGACCCTAATGAGATAAGAAATCTGAAGGATAGTTCAGCTATAGCACTACATGCAATTACACAACCACACCATAGGATGGGATAAAATGACAGTTTTAAAATCTTATATAACACAGTAGAGGCAGAGATTGATAACGAAGGCTTTATTTACTGAATGAACTGAGAATGTATGTAATAGGAATGATTCAACACCTCTCCACCCAGATATCTGGAAAATTTTACTACCCCTACGACGACAAATAGGAGAGAACAAAGAAAATTATAAAACTCAAGTTTCGAAGTCGTGTGATTATAATTGATGATATGATTATGAAGAATAAATTGTGTTCGAAGCGTCATCTAGTGCGTCGGTGGCATAGCGGTTAGGACACTCGCCGACCATGAATATGGTCCGGGCTTCGATCCGGCCGACACACTCCTGTACCTCGCCAAACCAGTGATAAGACAGGTAAAGAGGGGAGGTTGCGCATGAGGCTAACAACCCCAGCCGTGAAGGTAAACACCATTGCTACCGAAACTTCAAGCCTCTAACTCGAAGCTCTATGTTCCTCTGGGAACTTAAATGAAAAAAATTACTATGATATATTTAATAAACAAATTAATATGGAATTACATGCTACCATAGTAGTGCCCATGTTTTACACATATATGTTGAATTTTAATTTGATCCTTTGTACAGAGTTGTAGCAATGAAAATACAATATCCTGGCGTGGCTGATAGCATTGATTCAGATGTGAATAATTTAATGACGCTTTTAAATCGTTTCAATATTTTGCCACCTGGTTTATTCGCTGAAAAGGCAATTGAAGTGGCTACAAGAGAATTGAAAGACGAGTGTGATTATCTACGTGAAGCTGAATATGGCAAACGCTTTAGTCGCCTGTTAGCGGATGATCTTGTATTTCAAGTTCCTCAGATAATTGATGAATTGACAACAAGTCGTGTTCTAACAGCTGAATATATGAATGGTTTAGTTCTAGATGATTGTATTAGTCTTCCTCAGAATGTCAGGGACTGGGTAAGTGTTAATGTGTTTAAATCAATAAAAAGTTTGAATTTAAGTTTCTTTTGGATGCTTCAGATGTATCACTTGCAATCCTCCACCAGGTCAGGAGTGAGGACAAATCCTCGCCAATGACATTGGTTGGCTGATGTTCGCGCTAAAATCACGGATTCGTAGAAGCTAGAATTCATAGGCCATTGGACTGGGTCCTAGTGGTTGAGTGGTCTACGAACTTGACTTGTAACCGGAAAGTCCTGGGTTCGATCCATAGTAGTGTCATGGGTGTGTACCGCTGATGTGTCCCAAGCAGGGATGAAAGGGTCGTCCGGTACTCCCTGGTTTTCAGTGGTTCTCCAACTGATGCCAATCTGTGGTCAAACTTCAGACGAATGAAATCTGTTCTTGGAGTGAGTTTGAATTCCATATTTTGGGTGCTTGTCGCATGATGTCTTTCTAACTTTAAAAAGAAGAGATACTACCTTGATGCAGCAACATGAGTAGCCAGTGACAAGTTTCCTATCTTTAATGTTGCGGTAGTTACATTTTCCAAAACTCGGCTGTGTGCAACTGTTGTTAAGATTATATATATATTTTCTTATCCGTTGAAAATTGTGGACAGTGAGTGGAATCGTTTAATGTATGTGAAATGTGCGTCTCACTTGTGTTCATTTATTTTTTAGATTTTATTATATTCATAAAGTCATGTGATGTGGCCTTGAACTTTACATGTCTGTACTTTTTAAAGTTGTTTATTTATTCTTTTAATGCGAACTGTTTCTTCACTAATGTACCTATATTGAAAACAGTTGACATTTTCTGTAATTACATTTCCACACATAATCTACTCATTCCCTTCCCTACATCTTATTTAAAGGACTTCTTACTTTTATGTTCTAACGATGTCAGGTTCACATTTGAAGGCGATTGTCTCCGTCAGATCGACGGTGCTACTATGGGAAGCCGTTTGGAGACTCTTTTAGCAGACAACTGTATTTTACACATTGGGACTTTATTTGAAGATTTAGTCCAAGATGTACCACTATAGAAAATGTGTGTCGATGACGTTGTTATCATAAATGACAAGCCTTGTTCTGCCCCACCACAATTTTAAATCGAATGAATGAAATGAAAAATAGCATATCACTTACGTCTCTCTGTAGAAGAGGCAGATAATTGTTTATCTGTCATATATATATACATATATATATATATATTCCAGTATTGGTTTTGTAGGGATTTTGTTTGATTGGATGGAGGATTTCATCATGAGCTGACTGGCCCTGTTCAGGCAGTTGACCTGGGGTTCTAGTGGAAAGCCGTGACCAATAGGGTACAGCACGTCAGAGATGACGAAGTAACTCATCGCAGAAGACATTGTGAAATGGTCGCGCTATGTCATGAATTGGCAGAAGTTAGAATTCAAAAACCATTGGATCGGGTCCCAGAGGCTCAATGGTCTATGAGCTCGCCTTGTAACCAGAAGGTCCTGGGTTCGAACCCCGGTGTGTGCGTGCTGCTGAGGAGCCCCAAACTAAGACGAAACAGCTGTTCATTACTCCCAGGTTTTCCAGTGGTTCTCTAACTGATGTCAGCTCATGATGAAATCCTCCATCCAATAAATATATATATATATATATATGCATATAAATGTACATATATATATTGCTTAGTCGATAGTCCAATCTATTAACAGAAAACCTACCTGGATGGGACACTATGTTAATTACCACAACCTCCTATTAGCTACAAAAAGGGTTTCAGTGCGGTTGCCTCTTTAGTAGGATGCAACGAATATGCATTCAGGATACACTCGATGACGAGGAAAGAAAATTGACACCAACTCTGGCTGATAATAATTATCCAGAGAAGCTCATATGGCGATATCAAGTGGTCAGAACACCAAAACACATTCTTCAACTCGCCCGTTAAGAGGGACGTATATATCAAGCTACTCTATATCAGTGACGGTCACAGCAGGTGGATAACTAGACAAAGATTGAATGGTGCAGTTGAAAGGACATTTTTATGCATAACGAACGCCTCTCTATCCATCTTAGCCCTTAGAACATAGGAAAAATGATGTCATACTGCCAGTTTAAATGTACGCTTGGTGAAACACATATATATGTATATATATATAAATATAAATATATATATATACATAGGGCGGACTCATCGATCTCTGTAAGTAAGGGTTGGCTTCAGAGCATATCCCTAAATGGCTTCATAAATAAATCGAATCCCCTGAACCGATTAATGGTGAAAACAGACGACCTACTTCTTCTATTGCGAAACATTATGGAGATAGGATATCAAGTTGATATTTACACCTATCTATAAGAAAACGTGTTTGGAGCGTATCCTAAAGTTTTTGAAGACACTAGAGATTTGGAAGTTTAAACCACTTTAATATGTTCAGAAGGAGTTCGTCACCGCATTAAACCTTCTTTAGTAAACCTTGTTCTAATACCAGAGTGGATGTACTTACTATTTAATGTGGCATGATGTAGATTGATAGGAGGCGGCGAAAACTGAAATCAACATATCAAGTCAATGGCTGTTAAAGTAGAATTGTTTATTCTTCAAAATTGGATTTAGTTTACATTTTGAACTTGAAATAACTTCATTGAACAGCTTGTTTAACCTTGGACGAATAGCCAGTTAATCAGAAGAATTAATTGTCCACTTGATTTGTTGAATACAAAGTAAGTAAGATAATAAACAAATAACAAATTGTTGCTTTGGAAGCATAAAGGTGGTTTAAACTTCAAAATTTCTAGGTCTTCCACAAACTTTAGGATACGCTCCAAACACGCTTTACAAATAGGTTAGAAAGAGGTGTAAATGTCAACTTTATATCCTGTCTCCATAATATGTTTCGCAATAGAAGAGGTAGGGTTGTCTGTTTTCACCAATAATTGGTTCGGGGGATTCGATTTATTTATGAAGCCATTTAGGGATATGCTCTGAAAGCAGCCCTTAATTGCAAAGATCGACAAGTCCTCCCTATGTATGTGTCACCATACGTGCATTTAAATTAACAGATACAATGGGGTGTGACATTATCTTTCGTATGTTCGACGGGCTAATATGTTTGTATAGGCTTCCAATTGTCAATTGTTCTTACCTTAGCTTCATAAAATGTTTTTTTAACCTCAGAGTTCAATGCTTGCCGAGTTACCAAGCTGCCATGGTCACCCATATTGGGTGAATTGATATACACGTCTTTCTTTGCGACGAGTTGGGGAATCGGTCTTGGTGTTCTCACCACTTTATAAATCTCCGTACAAACTTCTCTGAATAATTATTATCAACCAGAGTTGGTGTCAATTTTCTTTCCTCGTCATCGAGTGTATCCTGAATGCATATTCGTTGCATCCTACTAAAGAGGCACCTCCTCACTAAGACCTTTGTAGAGAACAGGAGCGAAGCTGTGGTATATGAAAATACTGTCCTGTTCAAGTAGGCTTTCTTTAAATAGATCAGGCCATCGACTAAGAAATATATCTAGGAAAGATAAACAATTATCATTCTGGCTACTTCAATGTGTATTTATCAATTCAATCACAGCCTTTTCAATAATAAATAGCACAAATGAAACTTGCAGTGAATAATATCACGTCGCCAAACGACCGCTCTTTGTCATCAGCAAAAGTCAAAATGCTTCCCAAACATACAGGAAACTAGTGACGAGTAATTCACAATAAATATCTTCATATAAGAGGCTTTGAAAATGTTTACATGTTCTTTACAAATATATGCGAAACATAAAAAATGTCCGAAGTGTGCTAATGCACAGGGAATCAGTAACAGCGTCTCTGTTCAGTAGGTCGACGAATGTGTTCCCCAATAGATGTATCTGAATTTTCCTTTTCTTCACTTCCAGCAGTCAAGTGATCTTCTGTTGCATAGAGGATTTCTAGGATGTCTTTAGTCAACTCGACGGTTTGATTCATTGTTTTGACAAATCATTTCAATCCTGAGCCTGAGCAACTTGTTTAAGTAGAAGTCTCACTCGCGGGCAAGCGTTGCGATAGCTGCTGCCCCTTGTTTTTCGGGCTTGGCAGTCAGCGAGTCAAATTGTTCTTTTAGGCGAGTAAGATCTGTGCATCCTCTCCAGCATCGACGCAAAGGTCCGTCACAACGCGACGCTCGTTCCGTGGGGTTAGGGCTCGCCTTCGATGTAAAGGTCTGCTACTCGTTGATGTAGTTGAGAGCAGTGGAACAGCACTGGAGTGATTTGGTTGGGCGCTACCAATGGTTTTCTCTTTTCGTGTAGCGCCGGAAGCATCATGCGTATGCCCATCATCGAAACATGAGGCGTTTCTTCGACGCGAAACTCACGACGGAAACAAGTTCTTTTTATATGTGAACTTCGCATCATTAGGACATAGGAGTAACAAATTCTGTAAAGAATTTAATGGAAAGGGGATTAAGAAATTATGTCTGGAAGTTTAATCACAAAATATATCATTTATTTTCAATAAAGGTACATTAGATAATAAAGAGTTCACACGGCAAGAATATATATTTTTATTTCCAATATTAATGCTATCAAGTCAAAAAAACTTGTTTTCAACAAAATTTCATCAGTTGGAAGACTTGCAAGGAGGTGAATGATTCCACAGTAGTTTTTATCAGAGACAGAACTGTTGTACTATGATACTGTACTGTTTGTTCTCGTATAATGTTGACCATCTCTGCCAGTCTGGTCTTAAATTTTGTTGCCTCATTTATTGCATGAATGTGCGTTACCTACTAATAAGTAGTTTGGTATTAATACTCAAGATTTTTTATCGTTTGTTTCAGCTTGGTGAACAGTTATTATGGTTGTGTTTGAAAGAATTATTTGTATTCCGTGTCATGCAAACTGATCCGAATTGGTCAAATTTCTTGTACAATCCACAAACAGGCAAAGTAAGTTAATTTTACTAGTTATATTTAAACCAATATATAAAGAATTCAACAGACAAAACGTGCACTTAGGGTGTTATCTTAGTTTCGATAAACTTATTTATAGTCTTTCTTATCACTCCTAGTTATTATGTCAACGTTATTTAGAACGTTTGCGTGTAAAATCGTAGCCTTTTGATCAGCTTCATATGCTGTGTTGATCTGCATAAGTGTAGTTGGCTTCTAGGAATCATCTCTACTATTTCATTGTTCTGTTTTGTGACAGATGGTTCTTAAATGTGGTCAGGTATGTGTGTGTGTGTGTGTGGGTGGGGGGGTTGTGCTCTTCACATAATTGAAAAGGCGAATGCGAACGTCTGTCGCTAGCAATCAGACCGGTCAATACGCTGGTCTACCTAGGGGGGATGAAAAATCCTGATTTCCGAATCTGTGGTGCACATGGGCGTCAGAATCCAAACGGACCGAATGGCGTCTGAACCCATTTGGGTCACTGGGACCCATGGAATCTCACCTTCTGACTCTGATACATTACGATGTTGGATCAGACTTCAGGCCAAAGGCTTGGGGTGTCGCTCGGAAATATCCCACTGCCTTGCACAAACTATGAAATTTTGTGTGGCTCATCCTTTGTAGCCCATAATATACCAAGAGTGTGCTTTAATAATAATTATACATTGATTCCCGAAACTCCAGTCCCCACTTTAACCAATATCAATATCCTATTTTCATTAGTTAAGAATAAATCATGCTGGTTGTAGAATTGAAGCTATCCTCACCCAATGAGTGACTAATTATTCTAGTTCACTTCCTCGGGTTAGTAAGAAGCTAAGAAGTTAAACATTCTTTTTCCTTACCAGATAGATAGGTTAATTCAGAATTTTGCACGGATTCTCATCAGTTTCTGCTACAAAATAAAAAAAATCAGCACATGAAGATTAGGTAAACAGGAGTTGAATGAAATTAAACCAAGCGAGAAGAGAAGATAATTGAATAGAAGTTCTTTGAAAATCTTGAGATTTTGGAGATGATTAATTATAAATATAAGTCTGAATTGGATTTTGCAGGTAAGTGGTAGTAATCCACTTCCTGGTTGAGGACCAGTTAACAAGTGGTGCTCGCTAGTGACTGGCTACAGGGTGAAGTTACCTGGAGTTCTGGTGAAATATCGTGACCAGTGAAGTACACCAGGTGAGAACAAATACTCGCCGATGACATTGGCTAGTTGGTGGTTGCGCTAAAATCACGAATTGGTAGAAGCTAGAATTCATGGGCTGGTCATTGATTAATTCAACCGAAATGTTCAGCCTATGTTAGCCTGTTGGCTCCTAGTAACGGAGGCTTCGACTATGTCCGAGGATTAATTTGAAGTAATTTAGGTGGATGGTGACCAGCATTGGAATCCAGCATACGCATTTCGTCCTATTTGGGACTCGTAAATTTCAATGAGAACATCATCACTCACTGCTGACCTCAGGTACTGGTCAGCAGTCCACTCCGTCCTCCCCCTCCTCCTCCTCCTTTATGGCTGTGAGACATGACCATTGAAAGTGGGAGACATGAAAAGGTCGGCTAGCTGTCTTTGATCATAGGCGCCTAAGTTCGATTTCCTGTGTTAAGTGGTGTAATAGGGTGAGCAATACTGAGGCTAGGCTTCGGTTGAGTGCTGGGTAAGGAGGGGAAATCAATCGATGAGGTTGTGAAGTTATATCGACTGAGATAGATGGTTAGCACATGTGTTGCGCATGCATCTCTAGCCATCGCTTTCCTCGACGGGCAATGTTAGCTGACTGACTTGGGATGGATCAGATTGGAAAACAGCCAGTAGCGGTCAAACCAAGCATGGCATGTCAATGAAATCCACAACAGTTAGTTTAAGCCAGTCACGTAGGGGGTGTAGACTTCCTAGTTGGGGTCCCCGGGACGGTAAAAACCAGTAGCTGGAGAAGAATGGTGATATGCCTCACAATCGTTCTCAATGTTGCAGAGGCATTCAATCTTTGTGACTTATGATATCCAATAAAATTCTTTTGTTCTTCCATGCTACTATTCTTTTTGCCTCACACTTCTCTTTATTATATCTCTTTTGAATCTCTTTCTACTCTCTTCATTTGCTTTGTGTGCTACATGGAGGGACAGTGGGAATTCGTACTGCTGTACATCTGTGCAAAGTTCTTCGTTGAAATCCGTCAGTCAGTACACCCGGATGACGAGTCCCAAATAGGATGAAATGTGCATCCTGGATTCCACTGCCCGTCCACCAACTACCAAAATAACACTGGCATTTGATCCCTGTTTTTTACCTTGTTTTTGAAGACTGCTTGTGTATTCGAACATACGGTTACCGCATTGATATCGCCGTATGTATCAGAACCAGGAATTACGTAATTCAGCCAATCTCTTATTATTTTATATTTTATTCCTTATATATCCATCACTTATACCTTATGTGTTATATTGTGTTTTTTTTGTGACATGTAGATTATTTTATTGGATTTTGGAGCTTCCAGAGATTTTAGTAAACCTTTTGTCGACCTATACATTCGTCTAATTCATGCAGCTGCTGAAGGTGATCGTCAGAGTATTCTTCAAATTTCAGAAAATTTGGGTTTCCTAACTGGTTATGAAACAAAGGTGAATTTATTGCTCAGTTAGTGTTTCTTTTACTTTTATTAGCGAGTAATTTCGATTGCTTTTCGGTTGATGAATCTTGGTCAACTCTAGGTATTTATTTATTTTATTTATTTAAACGCAGAAAAACTTGGTACAATATGGCACCAAGAAGATGGGCCACACATTAATAATAAAACAACAAAGATTAAAAGTAAAAATAATAGTAGAGAACGGGTAAAGAACTTCATCTGGAAGGAAAACAGCCATGCTTGACAAGTTCAAACAGTATTCGTCACCTATCATCAGGAAGGGAAGAAAGAAGGAAATTGTAACACTTTCGCCATTGATTACAATTCTTGGCCATATCCGATAACTTTTCGAGTCATCATTTCGAGCTATCTCTCGGACTTCAGCCAGGGAGTCGTGACGCACCAACCGATCCCAACCTAGCACAAATATCCTTCATCCCACGATGCCACGTCATGAACCGACCACCCCTTTGCCTTTTCCATCCCGTCCCAGGGCTGGCTAGCGAACAGAGACCTGTACGGAAGCCTCTGGGATGACATTCGCAGCACATGTCCAAGCCACCGAAGCTGGTGTTTCCAGATGACGACACTCAATGAATGGTGATCTCCACTGTGTCCAAACACACGCCACCGAACCTCAGAATTACTCACGCGATGATGCCATCGAACGCAGCGATGATCGAACACACAGAGCCGCCGCACATCCTCAGCTTGGAGATGTCAGGTTTCACAGGCGTAGAGCAAGACAGCCGGCACCGAAGCATTGTATACCCGACCTTTGACAGCCAGGCTAACGTCGCGACGGCGCCAGAGGTGGCTCAAGTTGATGTATGTCACTCTAGCCTTCATGATACGGTTGGAAATCTCATCCGTCACCCCTCCGCCAGCACTCATACAACTACCCAGATACGCAAACTTATCAACAACTTCAAGCGCAACTCTAGATAAATTATATTGGTTGTCATTTGATACCCTGTTCTCAATATTTTTGAGCGATTCAATCGTAACAGAAATTGTGAAATGATACCTCCATTGTCAAGTGATATAAATAGTATGGCGAATCATATTAAGTCTAGACGTAGATTGCTGGGTGAGGTAGGGAAGTCAATCAATGCGGTTGTGAGAAGATACATCGATTGAGATGGCTAGGTCACGTGTTTATCACTTATTTATCACTAAAAAACACAAACGTTGTACATTACAAGCATCAAGAGATGCGCTACTTATGCGTTGTATACACTGAACTGAACCACCACTTTGGTCGTCAAACAATGTTAGCTGACATAGGATTAGGCTGGGAAAGAGTTAGAGGTGACAGTATCAAAACATGGAGTCAATCGATGAAATCTTTGACTTTTCGGTTTAAGCCACGTAGAGGAGTGTAGATTGTTTGGTTGGGATCCTCGAGATTCTAAGAACCAGTGGTTGGAGACTGTTAATGATATGGCCTAAAGCCGTTTTCAATCATACACTTCTATTAAATCTTCATGTTTTCCTAAGTTATTATTTTTTCTTCTTCACATTTCTGCTTATTACGGTTCCGATGAATTTCTTTTCTCTACTTTTATCTGCTATATATGTGAAGTGTGGCCAGTGCTGCTACTGCTGAACCTCTGTGGATACTTTTTTGTTTAAACTCAGTTAGCAGTAGTTGTTGACCTAAACACCAGATGTTTTCAAGTTTATGTAGTGTTATGCCTTCTTAGTTAGTGTCACCATTGACAAAACCTGCGTGTAGAGCTTCCTGTTAGTTTACTCCTAAAAATTGTTATTGAAAACGAGAGATCGAAAGATATCATCGAGGAGTTTGATTACCGTATTACCGTTATGTCGATGATGCATATAGACGAATTATTGATGAAATTCAACAAAGTCCACCCTTCGCTTACTTCTACTTGTGAAAAGGAGCAGGATAGTAAACTACATTTTCCGGATGTCTTGCTAAGTAGGCGAAAAGATGGGTCACTTGGGAGAAGCGTGTATAGAAAAAGCACATTCACAGGGCAATACAAACACTTCCTTAGTTAAGTGCTGATTAAATATAAAAGAAATGTTAAATGTCTTACGAGCAGAGCAATAAAGATGTATACGGATGACCACTTCCAAAAGGAATTTGAATATATTCATGATTCCTTGACGAGTAGTTTCATAAAGAAACATATGAAAACATCGGAGAGAAAACCTGAGACTATGATTTATTTATTAAGTTACAATTTAATGGTGACTTGTCAAGTGAGACTTTATTGCAGAAACTTTCCAGGAATATACGAAGAACGTTTTACGCAGCAAACCTATTTTTGTCATTCTCTAACTGACGAATGATTGGGACACGAGTGAAGGATAAGTTAGGCAGTTCTGCCACATCTATGTGCATTTATCAATTCAACTGCACCTGTATTGACAGTTATGTTAGGCATACTACTAGACATCTTAACCAAATTGTTAGTGAACATCTCCCATCGTGGTTCGGCAAAGGACAGACAAAATCAATCCGTAGCTCAATTTTGTCACATTTAGTTGATAGTGGTCATGTAATGGAGAAAACGAGGGCTTTCAAGGTAAGTCGTCGTATTCCACCGAATCTCCAATAGACTTCGTATTCGTTTACTGCACACAGCTGAGGCGATAAGCATTCGAACTATTAAACCGAAACTATGTATTCAAAAAAAGTTCGTACAGCCATTATCCCTCCCTTCGCCTGTTAAGACAACCAACTGATGACGTCTACACCACCCCTTACTTATATTTTCAACCCCTTTCTTATCATCCCTTGATCTTATCACAACTTCATTAAAAACGTGTTTCATTTACTTCCCTTACAATCTAGCATTGCTTAGTCGGTTCATTTGTTTTTACTAGCCTTTATCGACTACTTCCACCTGAACAGTTGTTTGTTTAATCATGCTGTTTTTCGGTATTTTTGTAATCACAGATCGCCTCACTTTCTCATTTTTATTATTGATAGAACCATTATTATTATCATTATGACTTATTGCACAATTTATATTCACCATCGTAGTACCCTATAAACAAAACACCATGATTGGTTTATATTTGAATTTTTATTTGTAAAGTTATGTAGGTATATTAGAGTTAAACCTGATGAGATCTAACTGAAACCGTAATATTGTTCGCTTAAATGTATTGTTCTAAATTTTACTATGGATATATTTAATATTTCAAAACAAACTAAAGAAGAGAAATTATATGCAGAGTAATGATGATGTATTTCGGTAACCCAGGTTTCAAACAGGCCGCGTATAGTTTTATATATATAATATCCAGATCGCAAAGATCCTGGACTTATTCCTGGCTTCAGGAGACTACGCCTGATACTTAGAATACTGTGCACAGTAGCCAACCAGGAACAACAGAAAATCGAAATGCAATACGATTGTTTACTCTTCCACCGATAACGACACAGCAATACAGGTTACTGTCGGCAAATTCTGTAAATAAACGTTAATAGAATGTACATTTATACTTCTGATCATATTTCTTCAATCTTCAGCCAACCAGTATACGACTAAGCAATGATAGCCTTCTTGTCTCCCGCCAAATGGAGACCAGTTCGAATAAACAAACGATTCAGTGTTCACCAGCATTTTTTCCTATATATATATATATATATATATATATATATATATAGGGAGAGAGAAAGCTATAGTGAAAGCCTCTCCACGTTGCGCTGAAGTTTAATCATAGTTCATTTCTGCTCTTCTGAGTATTTCATCTAATGGTAAATGAGATTGTTCTAGCCTTCGTCCAAATGTGGAGATGGGATTTATCTACTTAAGCACTTGATTTCCCTCCAGTTGGCGTAGGGTTCGAATCCTGCTTGCCCTACTTTAATTTGGGAAACTAAACAGGACCCATCAACCCTCAAGTAATGTTTGCTCACTGAGTCCTAACAACTTTTACTCACACTTATTTGTCTTTCTTTCAATTTGCCTACTTTTCTCCTTCCAGTTGTTACAACAAGCTCATGTGGATGCTGTTAATATCCTGGGTGAGGCGTTCGCTGCTGAGAAACACTTTGATTTCGGTCAACAGTCAACAACTAAACGAATCAGTCATTTAATCCCTGTTATGCTTGAGCATCGATTAACTCCACCACCAGAAGAAAGTTATTCCCTGCATCGGAAAATGTCTGGCTGTTTTCTACTATGCAGTAAACTTAAAGCTAAAGTTAACTGTCGACCATTATTCTATGATATATGGAATAATTATCAATTCTCTGATGACCACAACACTTCTCCTCAGGTTAAGAATCAATGACGGACAAATGAATATGCATTAACTTTTAGATATATTTTGTCTTTTCTTTTTCCTTTTTGTAGTGTCCAATTTAGTAGAAATTTTACACTGTACTAGTATTACTATCTGTATTTTGACGAAATACAAAGATATTTTATAAGAATGACATTCGTTTTTCCTGACAAAATTCAACTTGAGTTTATCGTGGTGTGATCATGTGTTTCGATGTGAATGCACTAGGCCTTATTCTTTTCTTGTTGATGTTGTTATCGGATGGATGTTGACTAGCAGTGGAATCCAGGATGTGCATTTCGTTCTATTTTGGACTCTTCAGCTATTGGATATACCTGCATTCCCCAGTGAGTAGTTGTGAGTGCAGGTGTTCCCATTGAGGCTTGGACCCAGCAGCCATCATTTCTTCAAACGCTAAAGCGTTATGCACTAGACACCATTTGGGCCACAAGACCCACCTCTTGTGCTGCAACGCATATTAGTTATTATATAATTCAATTTGGACTTGAAACGAAGCATCTCAGTCCAATCAATGCGAAAGTCCGATTCCATTATAGATAAGATTTTATTTTGATAAATCACACACTGTGTTGCACAGTAATATTAACTGATGATGACATTTCGAGCACAATTTATTGCTGCTCATAATCATCATATCAAGTCACTCACACAATATTTTACTTCATTTATTTACATGGGAGAAATTCATGATTAGATATTTGAATAAAAATCAATATAAGATAAAGTACATTCAGAAATAATAATATGAGTGTTATCAATCAAATACAATGAGATGGGAAATAAGACGAGTGTTTTTATAGTCAAAATAAGTAACTTGTTAGAATGTTATGATGTACGTGAATCGAAATAGAATTTCAAGATTATTTCTTGTCATCCTGTGATTTGACTGACTGGTGGTAATAATATCTTCCATATCTCTGGTATTTGCATTGAGTCATTTCTGTTACATATGTTGGGTGTAGACTCAATGAACCAGGATTCAGTAATCAATCTGTCTCGAGCTCCACCTACATATATTACTTTTTAGAATTTTGACTCTATCCCATCCACCCTATTGTGTGGTTGTATGTTAATGCATGCAGTGCTATTGCTGAGCTTTTTTCTGAATTACTTATCTTCGCGGTTGGGGTCAATCATTCTAACCTTAGCTAAATTCTTATGTTCTGACAGTATGACTACTCCCGACCTACTAGTTTGACCTAAGTAGTTGACTTCACTTACAGTCATTGCAAGGTATTTTGTAAATTAAGTTATTTTATTTAATTGGACCCACCCGGTCTTTTTGTTGTCGTTCGAGACAGTTACTTTTTTTCTAACCTATATTTTCTGTCTTTTTTATATTTTCATAGTCGATATGTAAGTGACATATTAAAACACACACACGCAGTGCATATTACACAATCATGGTAAATCAAAGAATTAGTGAACCGTCTTCTCCCAACTCAACAAATGGTGATGGCGATGATAATGATATTCTTAATGGTGTCAATAATGGTGTTGTAATCAATTGGAGTAGCTATGCAACTGATGCAAATGGAATCGAAGATGATGTTGATAACGATGATGATGATCTCACGAATCAGTCAGCACCACCAATTGGTTATGTTCTACTAGGCAGTGAAGTGTTACACGCAGCGGATGATGGTGGTGGTGGTGGAGATGACAGTGAAGCAGATGATGCCTTGTCAGTTAGTGAAAACGAGTCAGCGTCAGCAGAGAATCCTGCCATCAATCAAAATGATTCAAGTGTACAGTCTTTGGACAGTGGAGCAGATTCAGTCAATCTAGATATTGATGTTGACCAACTACTTAATCGACAGTTGGCTAGAACAGAATTTGAACCTCGTGGAGCATTTTCAGTAAGTGTTTTCACTCCTAAATGAGCCTAGTGTGTAATAGTAATAATAATAATAGCTTTATTCTGGACAGTGTTTATAAAGTGTTCAGAATTCTCAGCAGAATTCATTACAAAATATATATTCTTTTCGTCAGGCATTTCCAAGTAAAACCGTAAATGATAGTAGATTGCGTGACGCAGTGTCATCTAACCTTGATAATAATTCTCGCCCTGATAATGTCTATAGGGTGCCTAACCAGTCATAGGCTCTGATGGTGTTCTCGTGACTTTTATTGCCAGATCCTCCAAGGGCGATTGGAATAGTACGTGACCTAATGGGTTGTATGTAAGGTTTGAAGAAGGCTGTGCGCTATATGCATGCACCTCGCCCTGATAATGTTTACACGGGCTCGCCTTGTAATCAGAAGATCCTCGGTTCGTGCCGCTGTGGAGGGTACGTGCTGTTGAAGAGTCTCAAACTAGGCTGACGAAACAGCTGTCCAGTACTCCCAGTTGGTTTTCCAATGGTTTTCTAACCGATGTCAGCTCATAATGAAATCTTCCAACTAATCAAACTAAATCCCTACAAAACCAATACTTGAAAATTAATCTGATGCCCACTAGCGACTGGTCCTATTCAGGCAGTGACCTGGGGTTCTAGTGGGAAGCCTTGACCACTAGGGTGCAGCAGGGTGAAGGTGAGGCAGTAACTCATTGAGAAGTGATCGCGCTGTATCATGAATGGACAGAAGTTAGAATTCATTGGTAGCACTGACTTCACATTGGTGTTGAAAATCCGCATCTTACTTTTCATGCTGAGTTCTGTTGATCTCCACACAGATTTGAAAGTCATGAAAGCTTGCCTTGCTTTACCGATCCTCGCTTTGATATCATTGTCAGTTCCATCCGCCTGTAGTTGAAACGATGCTTCTCAGGTAGGTGGAAGTGGGTAGCTGAAGGAAGTTGCTTCTTTCAGATTCCTCCCATTTTTGCTGATTGTTGTCTCTCGTTGTTGGCCAGGAATCTTCATCATCTCTATTTTCTCTATGTTCACCGGGTGTCCTATCTTTGATGCTTCTTCTGCCAACTTGTTGCTTTTCATCTGCATATCTTCCAGTTTGTGGGAAATCAGACATATATGTATCATCAGCGAAATCCAAATCCTTCAAGTGTTTTGTGTGGGTCCATTTTATGACTGTCTCCTCGTTGCCCGGCCCTCTGTCTGTCTGTCGCACTACCCAGTCTACCGCAATCAGGAAAATCACTGGAGATACTAGGCAACCAGCCAGCCAGTATTGTCTTACTCCCGTCTTCACTTCAAAGGATTGCGAGAGTTTCCCGTTGTGGATTAGTTGAGTAATGCAGTCAAACTTAAACTACACCAACCTTCAAATTACTGATTCATGTGGTACCCTAATATCATCAGTTATCAGGTAGTTGTTTTTTTCATTTTAATTGAACTCAACATCACCTAGAATGAGGAAGATATGTATATCTCCTTAGAAATAAATTCAGAGTAATGGATAATATCATACAAGCGGTTCCCTTTATTAATTTGAAAAGACAAAGAACAAAAACATTTGCAGAATAATACAAGCTGGTGTTATTTTGTTGATTCTTTTCAACTGTGTATATCCCGAACAAAATCAATTACGAGTTACAAAATTTCTGAACAAGGAAACCGTTTTTATGTGTCTAGCTTACAAATGGATAGAAGTATCCAGGAGAACCGAAAAAGACAATCAAGTGTGTATTGGAGAGAACATTTCCTGCCACCAGACTCATTCCAGTTTACAACACAGTATCCTCGTTAACTCAGTCAAAAGTAGATAGGTGTCCATGCTCATGTTAACTGCAACTGCATTTACCAATTCACTCGAACTTGCAGTAGCAAGTACTGAGAGGAGAAAGTCTACTAGATTCTCTGAGCATATACCTAAAGGTCTCTGTATGAAAGGTGGAAAACTGTTCTCACTTGCTATTGCCAGACACCTAATTGATACCCAATATACATTGGAAATTAGTCAAACCTTCAAAAGAATAATTACACAAAGGAGACCTTGATTACTTGGATTTGCAGAAGGCATTGCAATCAAAAGACTTCTATCCAACCTCTGTGTACAAAAAGAGATAGTGTGACTAATCTCTCACTCTCCTGGTAACTGTAATTGTTTTGTTCGTGTACTTTTGTGCTTTTGTTCAGCTGAATTTTGATTCTGATAGCCACTTAACGAGTTGAACTCACTATCAATTTTCCACATTTACTTGATTGTTTCTCTGTGTCATAATTTCACTGTATTATTCACTCTGTTGTTCGATCTTGTATTGTGTCTCTAGTTAGTCCTTGTTTCCAAATGAAATCTGAACTCTTTCCTCTCTTAATGTACTTATACTAAAAATAATAGTTAGCCCCTTTTTAACACAGAATAATTAGTCTACTAATATCATTTTTGGTTGGAATTATGTTGCTTATACGTTCTACGTATTAGTCGACGCCATTGTGGCGAAAGTATGTCCAGAAATTCTGTAATTTATAATTTGATTTTGTTTAGGATGTAAGCAGTTGAAGAGAATTCACGAGACAAAACGAGCTCGTATCATCAAAACTGGAAATATGTTCACTATTTCTTTATTCAAACTAATAAAGAATAGTTATTTACGTATCCGGGCAGATTTCTTGATCATAAGTATGTATTTGAATAAATAAATAAATATCTAAGACAATGATCATTTTTCTTTGTTTATTTCACCTTTTAATTGTGTATTTCATTTTAGGATTCGAATTTATTGATTGGTACAGTTGAAGACACATCTCATATAGAATTGTGGAATGAAAATACACCTCCATCAACATCACAAATCACAATAACTGCAGGTAGGTTGTAAAGTTAATCAATGTAGAATTGGTTACAGGATTTCATCATGAGGCGACATCAGTTAGAGAACCATTGGGAAACCATCTGGGGGTACTGGGCAGATATTTCATCAGCCTAGTCTGGGACTCTTCAGCAGTGCTCACCCACCGCCATGTTTCGAACCCATGACCTTCAGGTTACAAGGCGGGCTCGTAGACCATTAAACCACTAGGACTCCATCGAATGGTTCATAAATTCCAACTTCTGCTAATTCATAATATAAGCACAACTACTGG